ATTATTATTATTATTATTATTTATTTATTTTTTTTTTTAAGGTTTAATTTTTAGAAAGTCTCTTGTCACGTCGTGTTTCTAGGGTTTGTTAGATAAAAAGTGTCACATCACATTCACAAAAAAGAAAAAATTCCCTCTTTAAACCGAAAACCACAGGAAATAAAACTAAACAACCTTTAAAACGATTGAAAGAATCCAGTCCTTCCTCTTGTTGCTCAGAGGCTTTTGTTGTCTGGGAGATGAATGGAGCTGCGGACCGGCGGCTCCATCGCAGCTAATTCACATAAATACTGCTGAACAGAAACACAAACCTTCTCACTTACAAGCCTCGCAGTCGCGTCTAATTATTGGCTATAAAACCAGAGAATCTGCAAATAAGAAAGTCAAAATATAGTTTTTTGCTCTTTATTCCTATTAACAGGAATGCCTGATCTTGTTGGTGTAATTCTCATTATTATGTAATCTATCTGCCTTCTCTTATTGCACAAGACTTTTAAACATTTGGGCCAAATTCACACTGATAACTGCAGGACGCTCGAAAATATGTTTTTATTCTTAGACTATAAGGAAAGAAATATGTACTCATTAAATATCGCTACAGGGAAATTAACAACATTTAATTTTCTCACATAGAAAGATGCATAATAGAAGGAACATATGTTCCTAAATTACAGCTAAAAGAAAATATGTTCAGTTTTCCATGACCCGTGCTGTTAAAAGATGATTGTGTGACATAAAACTGGTCTGCTGGTAAATCTGACAGAAGGGAAAACAATGCAGTGCTAATGGCTGGAAGCATGGCACTGCTGGGATTTCACAGCACAAATAATGATTCCTCCACCCGCCATGAAAAAGGCTTTTGGTATTCTGTGAAAACCAGGAATTCTGTAAAACAAGATAAATTGGTAAAATACGGAGGAAAGATGTCGCCTTTCTGCCTTTTCAAAAATCAAACATGTTAAGTTGGTGAAAAATAACCAATTTTCTCAGCTTTAAAGTCGTAGGGATAATTAGGGATCAATCATATTTAATGTCAAATCATTCTGGCTTAAACATGTATATAAATGTTCTCTTTATTAGACCAAAATGTAAAAAAAAAAAAAAAACACAGATTTTAAGACAGAAATCCTGTCTTAAAATCTGTGTTTTTTACCGTTATCTTCTGCAGGCCAGTTAGTTCATCAGCCTGAACACCTAAATTCGGCCAATCATATATCAACGGTCATCTGTCAATCGGTCATAGCATCTTGATTCATGTGTCGCAGCTAATATACGCAGCGGTTGAAATCAGAATCTTTGCAGAGTAGAGGTGACTATTACAGGTTTATAGGTGGAGAGGGAATTTTTTGCTGTTTCTTAATTCACAAGACGGGCTAACGTTAGCCCCGGCCGCTGCAGACGGGCTAATGTTAGCCTTGGCCGCTGCAGACTGGCTAACGTTAGCCAGTCTGCAGC